AGAAGTCGGCAGCCGGGCAAGTATGCGCAGGAGGAAGAAGAGAAAGTTATTGAAAGTGAAAGTTCTTCTTGGTCGACCCAGGGCTTTGAGATTTATCTAATTTAACTCCTGGAAAAGAAGGTTTTTTGATGATTTTTTCCACAAGAGAAAAAAAGCGGCTATTTTGAGGTGCTGAAAGGAAAGTTTACTCTCCCTCCCGACGGAATTAAGCCGGAAGGGAGAGGATAAAGAAAATATATAAATCTGGATCTTGTTGGAGGAGATGCCTTGAAGATTTGAGGACAGAAACATAATTTTAATAAGGCTTTAAAATATAGATTTGGACTCTCTTTTTATTTGTTTGATACCACCCCTGGAAGAGGAAGGGGGAATTTTGGCTTGCTTGGATTTATTGAGGATTGTGGATTTTGGGATTGCTTTACCTTTCTCTCGGAATATTTGGTTGGTGTAAGAAGAAAGAGGAATAAAGAAAAGAAAAGATTTATTTATAATGGCTTTCCCTTTTGAAGACCTGAGGGATGAATATGAGCAAACAAAAGCAGCCTGCAAAGATGGTATGGAAAAAGCTTTTCTATTTCTAGAAATGGCGCTGGTCAATTACCAACAGACAATGAAACAGATGGAAACAGAAGAACAACAACAAGGAAAAGACGAAGACGCCATCTTAATTGAATCCCAAAACTTATCTAAGGAAGAAGGAAGGAAGAGAGCAAGGAAAATGAAGGACTTAAGATCTAAAAAACATTTGAGAAAGAGAAAAATATGATGCAAAGTAAATATAATGATAGCAAACAAGAGAAAAAGGGAACACAACAGAGAAGGGATCCCAGCAAGGCAGAGGTTAGAAGAAGAAGGGGGGGTAGGAAGATTTGGTGGGGGAAGAAAGAAAGGGGAAAGGCGGAGAAAAGCCTCAAAGTTTTAAAATTGGATGGGAGAAGAGGAATTTTTTTTAGGGACAAAGGATGAAATATAAACTTCTGTAAGAAAGATTCTGCTAGGTACAGAAGATGGTATTGTAACATTTATATTTGAAATAGTAAATTAGAATGGTTTAAGATTTAATAAGAAATTAAAATGTTGAAGTCTTTAATAATGATTGATTTTTAAAATGTAATAAAATATTGAAGGAAAGGAGGATACAATGTATTTAAACATTTTTGGTGGATAGAATGTACCAAGCAGAACCGAATTGGGCATTTGTTATGTTGAATGTTAATTTTACTAACTTAGGGGGAGGATAGAAAGGCATCATACTCTGATTAGTGATTTCAGGAGAAATTCTTTTTATTATAAGAAGAGATAGAGGGATAATGAATGGGCAGAAGATATAAATATAATGATTTAATTAAGATGGATTAAATAAGATAGAATTGTGAAGAGTGATATGCGCTGCCCATGCAAAGAGAGGTAACTGGGGCCAAGGTACTTTACTAAAAGATTTTTTTTTATGTTTGTTTGTGTTTGTTTGTGTTTTATGAGAATATTGGGGAAATTTCTGTAGAAAGACAGGAAAAGATTTAAATATGTAATGATTTGTTTGTTGTTGAAATTTTTAATAAAACTTGTTTTTTTTTAAAAAAAGGGAGGCGGTAAAAGGCACGGGGGCCGGCAGGGGTGGCGCTAAGACATGGCAAGGGGGTGTTCGAGGTGCTGGCCCCACAGGCTCACTGACTGCCGGCCACACAGCCCATTGACTGTTTCATTGCTTCGTAGCCAGCGCCTCAAATGCAGAACCCGCGCGCAGTGAGCCTTGCCAAGCCGGGGGAGGGGGAGATGTGGGAGGTGGTGGAAAGAGGGCGCCTTAAGCTTGCAGGCTGCCCTCTCCGGTGGAAGTGGCGGAGGCGCGCCAGAAGGCCCGAAAGCAAAACCCTCCCAAGGCGCGCAGTGAAAGGGGTGGGTCTGGCGTTAGGGCCCCCTTCCCTGGAGGAGAACAAGGGAGCGTGCAGCGCCTGCCTGGCCTCCGCCTCTCCAGCCAGCCGGGCTTGTGCGCAGGATGCGGGTGGGTGCAGCTGTGGCTCTCCAAGGCGTGTGGCTCAGTTCGGTTCGGCTCTATGTGGCCATCCCGGACCTAGAGCCTAGCCTCCCTCTGCAGCCCGGTTCTTCCGACTGAACCCTGCGTTTTCTTTCTTGCTTGCTTGCTAAGTTTCCAAGCGATCGTTCCCTCCGCCTCCACTGGTCTGGGCTGCTTCTGCACGCCTTCCTCCTCCCGGGCGGAGTATAAAGATGGGTAGAACGCTTCACTAAAGTTGGGAGTCTCTGAGCATGTGCAGAGTACCTCCCCTTGCTTAGCCCGATGGAAGTGGACCTTGGGTTGAAGCAAAGAGGGTGAGGGCGGCTGCTTTGCTGCCCCGGGGAGGTTGGCATTGCAAAATTGGATGCCAAATTTCTTTCTGCCTGCCTTTCTACCTACCTACCGACTGACCGACCTATCTATCTATCTATTCATCCATCCAAAATGTCTGCCTGCCTGCCTACCTGTCTTTCTGTCTACCTACCTACCTACCTACCAATATAGATCTACCTACCTACCTACTTATCTACCAATCTACTTACCTACCTATCTATCCATACATTCATCCAAAAGTTCTGCCTGCCTGTCTGCCTATCTACCTATCTATCTACCAATCTATCTACCTACCTACCTACCTGTCTTTCTCTGTCTGTCTGTCTCTCTCTCTCTCTCTATCCATCCATCTATCCATGTTCGAAGCTCCAGCCCCGCAGGCACATTGGGAAAGTAGAGCAAGGCCAGTCTGGGAGGGAGGGAGGGGGAAAGAGAGAGAGAGAGAGAGAGAGAGAAAGAGAGAGAGAGAGAGAGACCTGATGCATCAGATTGAAAATGAGGCCTAGTTTAGTTTGAGGCCCTTTTCCACATTGAAATATCTTTGCCAGCACATTGAAACCTCTTTGGCTTCTATTAAAGGTTTTGTGGACAAAACATGGTCAAGACTATCAGGAAACTCTCACATTTTGTTAAGGCTCTAAACAGGATCCATTGGACCAGATCTCCACCCTAAAAATTACTTTTCCCCAATGTATTACAGTGCCAATTCTGAAGAAGGCAAAACCAAAATGTACTGGTAAATTACAAGGAAAACACACACACACACACACTCCCTTCTAACCCTGCTGGAGCAGGTGATTGGACTAGAATATATCTCATTATCTTTCTCCTCCCTCCCTCCTTCTTTATTTCTTTTTCTTTCTGTCTCTTCCTTCCATCCCCCCCCCCTTTCTTTGTCCCTTTTTCTTTCTTTCCCTTTTCTCTTCCTTTTCTTCCTTCCTTCCTTCTCTCTCTCTCTCTCTCTCCTTTCTCTCTCTTTCCCTCTCTCAGGTTCACCCCATTGACTTGACTTGCTTGGGCAGGTCCTTCCAATGCAGTGGGCTCAATGGGGTGGACTTGTGGGGCCAGCACCTAGAATGCGGCAGTGTCGGCATGTTTGAAAAGTAGAGCAAAGCCAGAGGTCGGTAATTTTTGCTGCAAAGAATCACAAAAGCTTCTGGGTTGTGCACAAGAAGGGACACACATGTCAATGCAATTCAGCAACATAAAATAATGAGATACAAATAAAACAAATCAACAAGAATCGGCAAAGCATCTCTGATTAGATTTTATTCACTGCTAGAATCTAATCAGAGATGCTTTGCCAATTCTAGTGCAATGACCTGCTCCAGCAGGGTTAGAAGAGAGTGTGTCACGTGTATGTGTGTGCATGGCTGTCAAAACTCCAAAAACGGGTCAAGTATCTCTGGGGAGGCCAGTCATAAATTAGAACACTTGCTAAACAACCGGCCATAAAGTGAGAACTACTTGTATTTGGTTTGCCAGTCATCTGGCCACACCCACCCAGTCACATGACCACCAAATCACACCTACCTCGTCATGTGACCAGCAAGCCATGCCCAGCCAGCAAGCCACGCAAGCCAGTCATGTGACCAGAAAGCCACGCCCACCCAGTCACGTGACCAGCAAGCTGCACCCTCAAATTAGGACACGCCCAAAGAAATTTGAATCCCACCCCTGGGTGGGGGGCACCGAGGATGAATTTGTAGCACCAAGGGGGTGGTGGACTGAAAAAGTTTGGGAACCACTGATCTACATGAAGGTGCTAGAAGAATTCACCCATCTGTTTAGGAGGAGCTATTATCAATATGCATGTGATATCCATCTTTATAATGTCACCCTGAGCTGAATGGGGGATCCAGTAAAAGTTGTTGCAGTGTGTGTGGAAACCAACCATGCTTGAATTGGAAGGAAACCAAGAAAAACGCAGTGGCTGAAAACTCTTACGGCTACTGAAGCCAAGATAATACCAGCTTTGATTCTCAGTTAGATTATTCTTCACCAGAAAAATAAGAGCCACAACTTGAGACCCTTCTGGACTCACAGCTCCTAATGGACTGGATTCTACATCTGTGGCCAGGCAGCTAGGGCCCAACCCTGGACTGCTTATTAGAGCAATGGCCCCCAAACTTTTGGGCACCAGGGTCCAGTTCCATGAAGAGAGTTTTCCGCAGACTGGAGGAAGCATGGTTTCTGGCTGTGATCTAGCAGAGTTTCCCAACAGAAGAAAGAAAGGGAGTTTTTCATCTCTTACTTTTTGCAAGCCTCCTGTTCTCCCATCATTTTCCTGGATATTTCCCTTCATAAAATTCCCTACTAGAACACCTGCAAGTGAAATGAATATGACTTCGTGTAAGGGAAAAGTTGTTTTCTTCCCAATTCTTGAACTCTAGACTTAGCCTAGTGCAGTGATTCTTAAAGTAACTTGATTTACATCTAAATAGTATTAAATTCTTCCAACTAAAGAAATCCACCTATGCTGAGAGATGGAGAAAAACAACCTTCCAAAGAGATTTTGAATAATTCTATTCAGGCTCCTCCCCCCTCTTTATTTCATTTGTTGTTTAGTTTTTAGAAATTGACTGCCACTGCAAAATCCTTCATTCTTGACCACATCATTCCTGGTAGTTCTTAAACTGTGCTTTTCAATTGCAAAATGACTTGTCCTCAACCATCAGATGAACTTGTATTTTTTGTGAATGGAAGGAAGGTAAGGATTTCTTTTCTTTAACAGAAAATTTACTTTAAAAAAAATTGAGGAAGGTGAGGAATGTCTTATGATACTATATTATTCCTGACACTGCACAGTGATTCATTCTGACTTGCAAAATATATTATATCTTTACAGTACAAGGGACAGATTTATGTACATGCAATAGTAATTGCTTACACAGAAATAAAACTACATAATTGTGACATACTTATTAACTTGTAAAATAACTCCCCCAAGTATTTGCATGCAGCCCGATAGGACAGGAATACAATGATTTTAAACCAATTAAATGAACTGAACTGTTGTATAAATGATTTTGTTATATTGTGTAACCATTATTTTACCATTATAATTAATGCAAAGGGTTTGCCAAGACTAAGCTAATTAAGACATTGCTAAACAATAATCTGAAAAGTTGTTAAAATTAAATCAGATAATATTTTTCTATTTAAAACTGATAATTATGCAGTTTTATATTTATAGCATCAATTTACAAATATGTTAAGTAGCTTTTTGCCAGATTTACTACAAACGGATATTCTCAAGAGAAAATTTAGTTTGCATTACACATACAAGAATACAAGAAGGCATCCAGAAATATATTTTATGAAATTTCAACTAGAAAATTTTGAAGGGAGAGGTTTAAAATGTGGTACTTTCAATATCCCTTAGGTCTGAAGTGAGCTACATTTTGCTTTTTTATATTTTTGTAATTCTAATACAGTGTGATAAAAGCACAAAAGTGAGTAGTAAAATATAAAGAAATGCCCAGGAAACAGCCTACTTTCATTCATATTCCCAGTGTGTTAATATTTTGCAATCTTTTCTTACTTTGCCCTGATCTCTTTTCTGCAAACATGCCATAACTAGAACACGCTCCAGTCAGGGGCTATTATCTTTGCATGTTTAGGTTTACCAATTGTCCAAAAATGTCCTATCAGTTCTTTGTTAAGTTTTCCTGGCTTGACAGTTATGTTTGCAATAAGCAGTAGAATAAATAATTACGAACATGTTAAGAAAATGAATGCAAAAAACCGATGAATAGGTGTTAAATAGAGGTAAATCACTAGGAAAAAAAGAATTTCAAACAAAGAGATTAAAAAGGAGATTTTTTAAAAATCTCTAATAACTATAGTAGTTCTACAAACAATGCCCATATTAGTAATAAATAACTAAGAATAAGAAGTATAGAAATGCTAACAATATAATTCCTAAATAAAGATATTACCAGTCTTCTACCATTGTTTATGATTTCCAAGTATGAAGATTTTTTTTGAAGATCACTTGTTTGGATTGCCTTGTTGCAATCACTCTTAATAGTGCCAAAACTTCAAAACTTTTGCAGTCTTTTCTTACTTTGCCCTGATCTCTTAGGGCAAAGAGACTTCTGAGTTTTGAACAGATAATTTGGTCAAATCATAAGTCAAACTGCAATTATAAATGTCATCATCCTAGTGCTCAGCAAGCCAAAATGCACACTACTACAGAATCAAATTCCACTAAAAAATCATCTATAATCATGTTAAGAAATGTTTGCCACAACTTGGAAGGGGCACTGATATTTTTTAGTAGGTGAATGTATGTTCTTATTTTTATTGCTACAAGAAAGGTCAATGTTTATTATATATATTGAAATAATTGAAATGAATAGTGAGGACGTTTTAAAATTGGATTAATTCAGTGACCAGGACTAGCTAAATGGAGTAATTGTTTGTTTCTCTTCTAATTTTTTTGGTATTATAAATAAAACTCTGTGGAAGTAAAGGGGAAAAATACACTGGAATCTGACTGAAAAGTACAATGTTATGTAGTTCTTTTTTTAGGGAATGATTATTACTATAACTAATTAAAATAAATGTTTATTGGGAATAAAGATGAGGGAATTAAGGTATATTTAAACCACTGAGGTGATTAGTAAATTAGTAAAAGGGAAGGGAAAATCTATGTTCTATTTTGTGTGTAAAAGCTTGTATTAATCTAGAATCTATGGAAAGAATATGCAATGGAATTGCAAATCTGACAGATAAAAGAATTAAAAGGTAATAAGTATGAAGATATGGGAATTATTAGTGATTTAAATGAGAAAAGAGTATCACGGAAAAGGTAACACTTAAAAGAAACATTAATGTTTAAGAAATATTTGAAATAAATTGAAATGAACTGAGAAGATGTTTAGAATGAAAGTAATGTTAGTGAACAGGATTAATTTATTTGTTCCTTTTCTTATGTAAAAGTTGGAATGGAGAAGTAATAATAGAATTAAGTTAAAAATGGGTAAGATAGGAAGTTGAATGTAGAAAATGAATAGATAATTATTGTCATATTTGCATGTAAAAGTGGTGATCCGGAATTATGTTGTACACTGAAAAGAGCTTTTTTTTCTTTGTTTTGGAAAAATTGAATAAAACTTGTTTTAAAAAAAACATATCAAAACTGAAAGGAATTTTTCATGCATTGCACAGAGAGCAAAATGTAAATAGAGCTATATTGCCGAGGGAGGGAGGGAGGGAGGGAGGAAGGAAAGGAAGAAGAGAGGATGAAAGGAAAGAAGGTCTATTTCTTGTTCTTTGATTTACTATGGTTTTTCTTTTGGGTTATGTCATGTCCCCCTGTTCCCTTCTTATCCTAATGGTCTTATTGTATCTGAATGTCCACAGCCCAAACAACTTTGCATTGTCCTTCTATAATAACAGATGACTCAAGTCTCAGTTGAATTAACTCAAACATGCTAAGAGATTTGTAAGCCTGTAATGATAAGCCTAAGTAAGAGGAAAGAAAAAGTGCAATATTAATTTCCACTCTTAAAAACAACATTAAGCTTATTGGGAAAAAGTGCATTATATCCTTACAATGGCTCTTTCAATGCAGGTGACAGACAATTATCCCGATCCTGAAGAATACTTGCTTAATTACCTGAGAAAGGAGCGTATCCTTTTTTGCTACAGCATTTTATAATAAATTCTATTGATTATGCAAAATGCATGATAATTTTCCTGTATCTCAGTTTCCTAGGAAAACAAAGCCTTTTGGTTCATGTTTATTCAGACTATGCAAAGCAGATCCTCAGAAATCTGCCCTCAGAAATTAATGCCTTTCCTAAAATAATAGCACTGATGGAGAGATCTAAAGTATTACTATACATATCAGTTATGGGTGCATCAGTAGAAAATTGGAAAATGTGGCTTTCCTTATTTTTGTGGGACAATTTCCCAAAAGTGGAACTTCAAACCAGCTAGTAAAAGTTTGTACTTGGATTTTTCTTAGTTTACAAATATTGGTATAGAAGCCTTGAAGATATTATTTATAGTGCCACTTGATGTTTACTGTATTTTTTTTAAAGAAATTATATGTATTTTTTTACAGAATTTTTTTCTCTTGCCACAGTTGTTAAGTGAAACATTGCAGTTGTTAAGTTAATGACCTGATTGTTAAGTGAATCTGGCTTCCCCATTGACTTTGCTTGTAGAAGGTCGTAAAATGGGATCACATGACCTAGGAACAGTGCAACCATCATAAACATGAACCTGTTGCTAAGCATCCAAATTTTGGTCACATGACCATGGGGATGCTGCAATGGTTATAAGCGTGAAAAAAGGGCATAGGTCCCTTTTTTCAGTGCTGTTGTAACTTTGAACAGTCACTAAATGAACTGTTGTAAGTCGAGGACAACCTGTATATGCAAATATAATTCTTACATATTTGCTGAAAAAGATTATTTATGGAACAATTTTATTTATTTGATAGATATATATTCCGCTTTTTCTCGAGAAGTCAAGTGGTGAATGGTGCTCCCTTCTCTAACTGCTTTTTTCTTCCACAACAACCACTCTGTGAGGTTTGTTGGGAGACAGCCACCAAATTCAAGTCAACTAATTACATTACATTTTTCCTTAGTGAACTGTGATTATTTTTTTAATTTATATTTTCTGCAGTTATGTGAAACATACTTTCAGTCATAGAAACTCAATAAATAAATTTGGGGGCAATCAGTCTCTCTCAGTTCAATTTACCTCACAAGGCTGCTCCTGTGGGGAATAATGTGAAAGAAACTACTGAGTTCCTATAGAAAAGGCAGGATGTACCTTTAACAGTAAAAATATAATAATTTTTCTCTAGTATCCTAACTTTTTAAGGGCACCTGACTTTTCCTGGTTAGGATAATGACAGAATAAACCTTAGTGATGGCTTCTTTGGACCCCAGGTATACCTTTCAATATGAGGAGCAGGAGAGATTTAGAAATGTTTATACAGTTATGCTTCCATAACTTTTGCCGGTAGGTTCCCAGCTTTCCAGACTTTTACAGGTATTCCTCGTCTTAAAACCATTGACATAATAACAGTGCTGAAAAAAAGTGACTTATTACCAGTCTTTGCACTTACAATTGTCACAGCATGCCCACAGTCACATGATCAAAATTCATGTGCTTGGGTATCCAGCATGCATTTATGACAGTTGCAATGTCCCAGGATCATGTATTTAACGTGTGCAATCTTCCCAGCCAGCTTCTGACGAGCAAAGTCAAAATCAGATTTGCTTAAACAACCACACAATTCCCTTAACATTTGCAATGATTTGCTTCATAACCATGGCAAAAAAGGGTGTAAAATCAGGCGTTACTTATTTAACAACTGCCTTGCTTAGCAGTTGTCATTCTGGTCCCAATTGTGGCTGTACGTCGAGGACAACCTGTATTTATTTTCTTCCCACTTGCTCCCTATGGAAATTGAAAGTAATGGGGAAATTGTTCTGGCAAAACATACAGTCTTTAATGGGAATCAATGTTTCTTTCCTTAACAATACATCTGTATCAGTCCATCTGACTGGAACTAAATATGGCTGTGGAATTGGAGGCTGTGGGGCCTGTACTGTGATGATATCAACCTATAATCCTGAAACCAAAAAGATACAGTATCCTTCAGAAAGGGGGAAACTGGATTCTGTCTAAAGATTACGTAAAGTTAAGGAAAGTCTCTGAGGTTGCTTTCTCCCCAAAGAATTGTGAGAGTACAGATAGAAAAAGAATAATTCTGTCAGATAAGAATAATCAAAACAGAGTTATAAAGTGGTCGGAATCTCAGTGGGCCCTTGTGTGTTTAAGAGCCCTGATGCCAAGTTTCGGTTAAAACAATAAATACCCGTTCAAGCTACAGTGCTTCAAAAGGAGATATTCATTATTCCTCACCACTTCCCTTATTATATGGGGTGCTTGTGGATCTCTGGGAAGCTTGTGGATCACTTCTCTTGGCTGAAATTCTTTTGAACCATTACCAAAGTAAGAACAGTTATAATTGGAGAATCATGATTGATGGAATACATCCTTTAATTCAGTCCTATTTGGTACTATTCTAAAGTTTCCTGATAGCTGTCCAGTCCAAGTCTGGTTTCAAAATAAGAAAGTGTAAAAAAAAAAGAAAGAAAGAAAGGGTCTTGCAGGGGACTATCAAGCACACAGGTTCCCTTTTCACAGCTTTTTATTTCAATTTATATCACAGGAATTATTTATGAATTCTATTATATCTAATGAAAATCAATACATGGATGTTTAATGTAAATTTGCATCAACTTTGTCTCAAGGCATAGCAAATATTTTCCAAGTTATTGACCCAATAGGAGGGTCTCTCTGGAGGGCTATGAAATGCTGAGGTCCAAGACAACATGTCAGATTAGATGATGTGGAGATCATCAGCAACTATTTTAATGGTTATTCATGTGGATACTCTCCTTTACAACCCAAAGTCATTATCCAGCCAACTCTTGTCTACTTCCATTGTGCTCAATCCATGGTGCTGCAATAATCACTGTAGAAGGAGTGGGAACCACAAAGACCAAACTTAATCCTATACAGGTAAGAATAATAGATGTGCTTAAATCAGTTAAGATATGATGACTTACAGTGCTTCTTTCAAAACTGAATTGAGAATTTAAACCTATAGTTTTTCTCAAGCCTAGTTCATACTATCTGAGTCGGAGAATAACTCTTAACAGTTTGATGTTCCCAGCTTCCTTAGCTCCCAATATTTCTTTTGCTTTGTTCTCCTTATCTGGTTGTTGTGACTGCATCACAGATTCCTTCCAATATGTCCCAAGGTATCTGCTCCTCTAGTTGTGACCCACATTTACCAGAGAAGAGAAGTACCTCTTGAAATGTAGGATCAGGTTTATCACAGATTCTTTTTTTTTTAAAAACAAGTTTTATTAATTTTTCAGAAACAAACAAATCATCATTAACCATTACATACTTAAACCTTTTTCCATTATAAATTTAACAAGTCAGATAAAACCTATAATTCTATTTTAAACCATTTCCATATAAGCATATAAAAACCTCTTATCCAGTTTCTCTTCACTTCTCTTTACTCTTATTCAATTTCATTATTATTATTTCATCTATTTCTTTCTGACTTGGTTACCATTATTCTCATTCTATATTTCTGCAAGGTTTTATTAATTCTCCCAGAAACATAAACACACAACACACAAGACATAAAGAAAAAAAAAAAGATCTTTTAGGAAAGTAACTTGGCCCCAGGTATTTCTCTCTTCATGGACTTCAATTGTATTCATGCTCATCTTACATGTCATTACTTATTTTATTTACCATTCTAAGTCTTCTATATTAGCTTCTCCACACATTTCACTCTTCTTAATTCTATCTTAATTAATCCATCTTAATTTGAGTCATTATATTTGTATCTTTTGTCCATTCTTTATTGTCCCTTTGTCTCGTTCCTTATAATAAAAAAAGAATTTCTCCTGAAATCACTAATCAGAGTATGATGCCTTTCTATCTCCCCCCTAAATTAATCAAATTAACATTTAAAATAACACCCAATACCCAATCCGATTCTGCTTGGTACGTTCTATCTAAATAGTAAATCCAAAATAATTAAATACATAGTTAAGCAGTAGATCTAAATATTGAATCTTATAACATTCCCATTGCCTTTTCCAAAAACAAATGCTACAATAAAAATTTTATAATAACATCAATACCATAATCTTATTAAACTCTAATTAAAACTCAATATTCTAAACCTTCCCTTTAATATTGTTAAATTTTAAAATCAATCATTACTAAACATTTCAACATTTTGATCTCTTATCAACTCTTAAACCATTTTAGTTTTCTATTTCTAATACAATGCTACGATATCATCTTATGTACCTTGCAAAATCTTTTTTGAAGAATTTATACTTTACCCTTTATCCCTAAAAAAGATTCCTTTTTTCCCATCTAGTTTCAAAACTTTGTGGCTTTTCTCCACCTTTTTCCTTCCTTTCTTCCCCCACCAAACCTTTCTAACCCCCCCCCCTTCTTCTAGCCTCTGCCTTACTGGCTTCCCTTCTCTGTTGTGTTCCTTTTTCCTTTTGTTTACTATCATTATATTGATTTTGCACCTTATTTTTCCCCTTCTTAAGTGTTTTTTTAAATCTTAAGTCCTTCATTTCTCTTCCTTTCCCTCTTCCTTCTTTCTTGGTTAAATTCTGAAATTCATTAAAAATGGCTTCTTCCTCTCCTTCTTCTTCTTCTGCTGTCTTCATCTGTTGTAATGTTTGTTGATAGTTAGCAAGCGCCATTTCTAAGAAAAGGAAGGCTTCTTTCAAACCATCTTTACCATCTTTTTTTGTTTGCTCATATTCTTTTCTCAGTTCCTCAACAGAAAAAGCCATTATAAATCTTTTCTTTTCTTTTCCCCTTCTTTCTTCTTGCAGCAACCAAGATATTTCAAAAAAAAAAAAAAAAAAACAGTCCCAAAATTATCAATCAGTCCAAGCCAAGGCAAAGTTCTCACTTTCTCTTCCTGGGGTAGTATCAATCAGAAAAAAAGAAAGTCCAAATCTGTTTCTTAAAGTCTTATTGCAATATATTTCAGTCTTCAAATCCTTAAGGCATCTCCTCCAACAAAGTCTTAGCATACAAATATTTTTTTTAGTCCTCTCCCTTCTCACTTATCACTTAAAGCCAGTTTTTACCTAAAAAAAATAAGTTTCTTAATATCCACTTATTAATTCCGTAGGGAAGGAGAGTAAACTTTCCTTTCAGCACCACCAAATTGCCGCTTATTTTCTCTTCTAGAAGGTATCATTCAGAAAGCCATAATTTCCAGGAATTTTGTTAAATATATCTCAGAGTCCCGGGAACCAAAAAAACGTTCTCTTTTCAAAAGCTTTCTCCACTTCCTCCTGCGCATTCTTACCCGGATGCAGCTTCTTTGTGGCGGCCATTACGGACCGCCGCTGCACCGTCTTGGGAAAAGGGGGTTCTGCCGGCTGGGAAGGGGGTCTGCAACACCCCCAAACCTCACTCCGGATCCCCCTTACCTTCAGCCACCCCTGCAGGGTAGCCTTAGCTCCGAACCCGTCCGGATCGGAGCACCAAAAGCGGCTAGCGCAGCAGGGATCGCGCTGTATCGCGAATCCCTGCCGCTCGCGAAGCCGACAAACCGGAAGTGTAGGATCAGGTTTATCACAGATTCTTTAAAGAGTTGCAACTGAACTTTTATGTGGCATTTTGAAATGATAATGCAACTGTTTGACTTCTGTTCCCATGGGTGAGATCTCCATTTTCAGAAACATTTTCATTTATTTTAACAGTAAAAATATGACAGTAAAAATATGGACACTGGCCATGCATAAAAAATGTGGGCATGTAAGAGCTTGTAATACAGAAATAAACAATTAGGAAAATTTCTTCTTAAGTCTTGCACTGCAGGCTACAGTTTAAGGCAGTGAAAAACAAGTGTAGCATAGAGGTTGTGCTGTGTGTGGTGAAAATTTGAACAGGCATCAGCCCTTGCTATGCAGCTTTTGCTCAGGATTCATGCAGTGTATGCAGCAGAGGAGAAAGAGCAGTTGTGATAATTTCTGCAGCCTTAGTTTAGATATATGTTGTATATGCAACATTTTCTCTTTTAAAAAAGTAAAAGCTGATCCTTAATTGGTTTTTGTAATAATCAGCAGAAAAATCTGTTTAGAAATCCTGTAAATACAGTATAAAGTTGGAATAATAAAGTCATAAGAATAACATTTCAAAAATAAATCATTGCAGCAAGGGTTAATTCATATCCAGGCTATGAAAAAATAGTTATAAATATATCTACAAGATAACACTTTCCTGTGGATCATAAATTTAGATATTTTGATTCCAGGAAAGGCTGGCAAAGTGTTTTGGCTCTCAGTGTGGTTTCTGCACTCCTGGGATGGTGATGTCTATGTATTCTCTCCTGAGGAATCATCCTGAACCCAGCATGGAGCAGATTGTTGCATCTTTGGATGGTAGGCTGCCTTTCTTCAAAAAATTATTTTTTTCTTTTTTCATGCTTGTTAGTAATTTAGACATATACCAAAAGAAGCAGCTATTTTTACAGATAGTCCTCAACTTACAACAGTTTGTTTAGTGTTCATTTAAAGCACCGAAAAAAGTGACATGCCTGTTTTTCACACTTATATCTGTTGTAACAGCCCTATAGTCATGTGATCAAAATTTAGACACTTGGCAACTGACTCATATTTATGAAGGTTGCAGTGTTCCAGGGTCACATAACCACCTTTTGCAACCTTCTGACAAGCGAAATCAATGGGGAAGCCAGATTCATTTAACAACGATGCTACTAACTTAACAACTGGGTTAAGAAAGGACGTAAAATTCATTTAACAACTGTCTCGTTTGGCAAGAGAAATTTTGGGCTTTTGTGGTCATAAGTTGAGGACTACCTGTGTATATCTATTTGCCTTCCAAACAGTTCTTTCCTTCTTTGGTATCTACTACTAGATACTTCCAATATTAGTCTTCTGTGCTCTCTACTTGTATTAAAATATATAAAATATAAAGCGGAAATAACCAATAACTGAGCCTTCTACCCAGGTCTTGGCTCCAGTTGGCCTTAGCTACAGTATTTTGAAATATTTTTGAAGTACAAATGGCACAAAACATATACACAAATTAATGTATAATTTAATAAATTAAAATATATAAAGTAATCAAGTTTGATTAAGTTATGGTTAAGGCTACCTTTTTGGGTATCCTTTAACATTCTATCTGTTTATGGGAACAATCTTAATCTACAGATTTATTTTGTTGAAGGGAGCAAAGATTTGACCAGAGGGAAGCACTTCCACCATGGAGATCAATCCTATGCCTGCAGAGAACTATTAGGAAGAAAAACTGTTGCATTCTTTCTATGCTCTGAATAAAACTTTATTTGAAGATATTTCTTCCTACTAGTTTGTTAATCTTCCCAAGTAATGCACATGCATTAAAAGGAGGATGCAAAATGCTTATTGATCGCTGAAATAAATGTTTTGTGTGTGATAATTTTCAGGTAATTTGTGCCGTTGCACTGGATACAGACCTATCCTGGACAGCTTTAGTGCTTTTTCTACGGTAAGAAAACAATGGATGATCAATGCATTGATTTTCCTGAAAGTGCCCATTAATAGAAGAAAATGCTGTTCTATTGAAAACGTGGATAGAAGAAATGATTATTTTGTAAAGACGACAAAGAAATATACAGCAATAAAATAATTGAAAACAATAATAAGTAACCCCCTCTCCAGTGTTATCTTAATATTCCTAAATATCATAGAACAAATTCTTTTCTTAGGAATGCTGCCCGTTGGCAGGGAGTGGAAAATGTTGCATGGAAAAAGAGGAGAGTAAAGAGAAAGAGAATTATGCAGAAGATCCATCGTTAAGAAGAGGAAAGGTATGCTGTAGCGTTTATGGTTTTTGTGCTTTCATGAATGAACTCATGTTGCAAGTCCCAAAGGGTTTATTTTGGTTGGTATATATCAATCTTATAGGAATGTCTAGATTCCCAATCTTATGATGAAGTCTCTTTCATCTGATATCCTCTACCTTGGAAATGGCTAGTGTGATGACCTGGAGTAACAAACGTAACAAAATCCAAAACGTAAATCTCTCTTATATACTAGTCTCCCCAGCTGCAACCAATGAGTAGGAGGATGGCCACTTCCTCTCTCATAAGCCAAGTTGTTTCCTTCTCCATTCCTCCCTGCATGTCCTAGAATGCAGAGGAGATGGGCCTGGTCTTCCTCTGACTGCCCAGCCAGCCTCTGCCCTCCTCCAGCTCCTCCACACCTCCACTCCCTGTCGGCTGTTCCTCCTCTCCCTCAGAGTCCGACTCTACCAAGGGCATGACAGCTAGTAACATATATGTGGCAAGAACCACTACATTACTTACAGCCTACTTAATTAATAGGCAACATAAAAAGATGCTAATGATTACACTAGATTTGGAATTAGCCTTTAAACATGTACAAGGTGCACAGTGTCTGAAAGTATTTACATTATCTGGAGTGGAAAATATATCCTTTTTTCAGGTTTTGACATTTACCATACTAACCTTGTTAGAGTTTACCCTACTGACAACTGGCATGATCTGTGCTACTTCACAGCTCTTTGTATTTGCATCCTAATATCTGACATAAATAAGTCACAGAAATTGTGACATAACATCCAAATGTCCACAAGTTAGTTTTTTTCAATCTATTTACTGGCATTTATTGGTCAGATGTTTGCAGCCCAGATCTCATAACCTTACCTATGGTTGCTATGAAAAATGATTGGAAATTGCTAAATGATTGATTGAACAGTACCTGAATTTTTCCCTGTTGAATCAGAAGTGTTCAGTGAAGTTTATTTTCACATAAATAGACATACTTCTATATCTATGCGTTGCTATAAGTTGGAATAGCAATTTTCTACCTATATTTAGAAGTAATATAATTTAATTTTAAATGAAATCTAATAATATTAATAATATAATTCTTAGGGGACGAGGAGACTAGTTTGCTTCACTAGTCAAGTGAAATCTCACCAGTTGTAAAAGATACATGATGTAGAGGTTTTGTAATTCAATAGTTTAATGAAATGATCCCCAAGGATTGTCTAAACATTTGGCTTGCCAAAGCTATTTTGTGCTGAGACAAGTTCTGACAAGGATATGTATAACTTGTTGATTAACTCTTTGACAGGACTCAAATATAACAATGTTTAAATTAAACTGTCCTGGGATGGTTTCCACACAAATTAAAAATTTTTTTACCACACCTTTCAATAATACAGTAGAGGAAGATCTTTGCCTAAAACCTGAATAAATATCCAGGTGTTTCTTGGTTCTGAAACTTGATCTGGAACAAGAAAATTGAGCGTAGCCAGCAGGATTCCATGCTGTGAACAGTGTTTGGCATGTCTTGCTTTTAAAAAAGATTAATATACTTAGAAGAGATTAAAGCAAATACCTGTTGTTCTCAGTTCCTTTAGAAAAGTTGGCAGAGAACATTTTCTATTCATAATTAACACACACACACACACACACAACAAGATAGCTAGTATGTGTTATATCTAAAGTGATAAATAATATAGAAGTAATTATTCCCGTAGGGCTTATTTTCAATGTGTGTGGCATAATAGAATTTGACTACCTCACAGGAATTTCTAGAAGATTCATTTAGTAACAGTCGGGTCTTCCTGAAAATGTACATAGTAGGTGCAGAATTTAAGCAGATCAGATATTCCTATAATGTAGAATAGAATTTTTTATTGGCCAAGTGTGATGGGACATACAAGGAATTTGTCTCCGGTGCATAAGCTCTCAGTGTACATACAAACAACATAGGTCATATATCATAAATCATAGTTACAATAATCAATCATAAGATATAATGAGTGATAAATCATAGATACCATTAGGAAAAGGTAGTAGGAAAGATGAGAAAGATGAGAAGGATCATATCAATACAGCCTACTACATAGATAAATATCTTTATAGTAATGTATGTGAAATGGTTTTGATCTTTTGTCGCCACATGGGCAGGTATGCTCTGTTAAAGGGGTTTGGAGTATCTGCCTTGCGGCAGTGCAGATATAAAATGCCTGGCTTTGAAAAATAGTCTCACCCTGGGGGAAGTTAGATTGTATACAGGTGAAACTCTAAAAATTAGAATATCGTGCAAAAGTTCATTTATTTCAGTAATGCAACTTAAAAGGTGAAGCAAATATCTGAGATAGGTTCATTACATGCAAAGCAAGATAGTTCAAGCCGTGATTTGTCATAATTGTGATGATTATGGCTTACAGCTCATGAAAACCCCAAATCCACAATCTCAGAAAATTAGAATATTGTGAAAAGGTTCAATATTCTAGGTTCAAAGTGTCCCACTCTAATCAGCTAATTAAGCCAGAACACCTGCAAAGGGTTCCTGAGCCTTTAAATGGTCTCTCAGCCTGGTTCAGTAGGAAGCACAATCATGGGAAAGGCTGCTGACCTGACAGTTGTGCAGAAAACCATCATCGACACCCTCCATAAGGAGGGAAAGCCTCAAAAGGTAATTGCAAAAGAAGTTAGATGCTGTAAAGTGCTGTATCAAAGCACATTAATAGAAAGTTATGTAGAAGGGAAAAGTGTGGAAGAAAAAGGTGCACAAGCAGCAGGGGTGACCGCAGCCTGGAGAGGATTGTCAGGAAAAGGCCATTCAAAAGTGTTGGAGACTTTCACAAGGAGTGGACTGAGGCTGGAGTCAGTGCATCAAGAGCCACCACACATAGACGGATCCTGGATATGGGCTTCAAATGTCATATTCCTCTTGTCAAGCCGCTCCTGAACAACAAACAACGTCAGAAGCGTTTTACCTGGGCTAAAGAAAAAGAGAACTGGTCTGTTGCTCAGTGGTCCAAAGTCCTCTTTTCTGATGACAGCAACTTTTGCATCTCATTTGGAAACCAAGGACCCAGAGTCTGGAGGAAAAATGGAGAGGCACACACTGCAAGATGCTTGAAGTCCAGTGTGAAGTTTCCACAGTCTGTGTTGATTTGGGGAGCCATGTCATCTGCTGATGTTGGTCCACTGTGCTTCATTAAGTCCAGGATCAATGCAGCCGTCTACCAGGAGATTTTGGAGCACTTCATGCTTCCTTCTGCAGACGAGCTTTATGGGGATGCTGACTTAATTTTCCAGCAGGGCGTGGCACCTGCCCACACTGCTAAAAGCACCAAAACCTGGTTCAATGACCGTCGGATTACTGTGCTTGATTGGCTAGCAAACTCGCCTGACTTGAACCCCATAGAGAAGCTATGGGGCATTGCCAAGAGAAAGATGAGAAACATGAGACCGAACAATGCAGAAGAGCTGAAGGCCACTATTGAAGCATCCTGGTCTTCCATAATACCTCAGCAGTGCCACAGGCTGATAGCTTCCATGTCACGCTTCATTGAGGCAGTAATTGCTGCAAAAGGGGCCCAAACCAAGTACTGAGTACATATGCATGCTCATACTTTTCAGAGGTCTGATATTGTTCTATGTACAATCCTTGTTTTATTGATTGCATGTAATATTCTAATTTTCTGAGATTGTGGATTTGGGGTTTTCATGAGCTGTAAGCCATAATCATCACAATTATGACAAATCATGGCTTGAACTATCTTGCTTTGCATGTAATGAGTCTATCTCATATATTAGTTTCCCCTTTTAAGTTGCATTACTGAAATAAATGAACTTTTGCACGATATTCTAATTTTTTGAGTTTCACCTGTAGATATCTTGCTGGTTCTCAAGTGCTCTTATCTGCTGTATCCAATTTGTACCATCTGGGACAACCTATTAACTTTAAACTGAAATTCGATATCTCTTACTTTCTGACTAAACAGATATTTGGCTCTGCCATATCCTAAATAAATCAGGAATGTAACATAATGTCTATGTGACAATTTCTCTTATATGGCCTGTTGCCAGGGAATATATGGGGGTTTATAAAATTATGGCAGCAGCAACAGCATAGAGGAGTATAGGGATTTTGCACCTTGCTAGTTTATCCACATAGAAATCTGGATAATGAACAAGGTCTACTGTTGAACTGACATCCAAGTTAAAAAGAACAGAGTACATCTCTGTTCACCCCTTTCTGAATACTTACTGTGCCAGAGAGGGACTCTTGCTATTGCATTCACTCTTAAGGTGGGGCTTTATTTCTCTATAGAAAGAGGAGGCACTTGTCAATAGTTGTATTTTTTTATTTTCTGCCATTCCTGGAAAGTGAATCAAAGGCATGTTTAAAATCTAGAAAGGCCATGAAGAGAGAAGAGTTCTTTTTATGAGTGTATTTTTGTACCAGATGGTACTAGAGTATCAAAATATGGTATATTGTTGATTTTCCTTCTCTGAATCTTGAAAGAAAATGGCGCTGTATAACTAGCAAGGTGAGGCTCTCACTCCGATGGTCATTTGATCACGAGTGGGTCCCTACCATTTCCCTTGCTCATTAAAATAAATAGTTGATCGTGGGAAGATTTGCTGTTCATCCCCGATCAAAAGAGACTCTGTTAGGTTGCCACATGCATCAGTTATTGGCAATAATCACCTGATCCTGTGACTGAGGACCGGTTTTGGAAGCGCTTGCCATCCTTGTGGCCACCCTGAAGGACCGCTTGTGCCAGGGATCCCAGAGCACCAGAGCTACTATTTCCTTCAAAACGCTGTAGCCCAGAGCCTGTTGGAGCCTTTCCCACCTATGAAAACCTATAAAAACCTATAAAACCATCGCCTCCACCAGAGATCCCAAGGAGCCTAAGCTCCTAAGTCCTAAGGGAGCACTGTAGCCCTAAACCCATTGGAACATGGATCAACGGCAGAGCTCCAACTGCTGAACTTCCAACAGCTGAGGGCCTGATCCCGGAGTGCTGACCTTC